AAACGAATACCGCGAATACTAAGCGAATACTAAGCGAATACTAAACGAATACTGCGAATACTAAGCGAATACTAAACGAATACTGCGAATACTAAGCGAATACTAAACGAATACTAGTAAGCGAAAAATAAAAATGTAATAAATAAATRCGTAATAGTGAAAATAGTGCGAAAGCAGAAGGAAGGGGGGGTTGAGAATCCAGAGGGGGTATAACATCTGATTTTTTGTGGTTAAAGAGGGGGGCAGCGTCTAAAATTAACTAAAACTTTAATTGGAAACTGAAAAATCAACGGGTCAGATTCAAAAACTTCTTAAGAAAACCGTGCCACGAATTGCGATAATTATTCACAAATAATAAGTACATTTGCGAGGGGGGGGGGGGGGGGGGGGGGAGGGGGAGGAGTAGTTAACTTTAGGTAGTAGTAGTTATTTAATTTAGTAGTTAGTTTTTTGGCTCATTTCTCAACCCCTCCCCCCCTTCCTTCGGATAAATATTGATAAGTATTGCGCAGTCCATCAAAGGTCTCATGCCATGACGATTGGCTACCACTGAAAGTCTTCAAAAACAGTGTCTAAGTAAGGAAATACTATCAGCTACTATCATAACTGTTTTGGGRGTTTTGTTCTGTACATTTGAAAACTACCGCTCAGTTAGTACATCGTGTAATAACACAGCCAACCCAATAGTTAATTATTAAATTCTTAACTTCCGGTGGTCCAAACGCGACAGGATACATAGATAGATTGACTAAAAGGTAAAACTCAAGTCGACCTAGCCTTCGGCTAGTCCGACTAATAAGAGCGGTCAGAAAATATACCTGAGGTGYTGTAAACGTAAAGAGATTGAAACCAACCAGAGAGAAAGTGTATCATATTATGMTTAAGCATTAACCGGTGGGAACTAGCGGTAAACTAGTGTGAGCTGCGTCGGTGTTTCTAAAGAAACAGTTGTGTAAAAAGATAAATTTAACACCGTTAACTGACAGCCCATTATATTTTGGTCATTGCGGAGACGCATTTATAGAAATACACAGCAAAAAAGGGCGTCTCTCGCAGTGTTACACTGGAAAAAATCGCGCGCTTTAAAGGTTTTAAATTTGATGTAAATATCTTGAAACCACGAAGGAAAGATTCCATTTTGAAGCGATATTTTTACGGCTATGCTACAGCGTTTTATCTCCTTCTCGTGTATCTTTCCTATGGTACTTAATGCATATGAACCAATATTTGGGGAATTAATGACGATGGACGATTTACCTCGCTTTGAGCTCTCTTCTTTCCCAGAGGTGTGGATAATAATAAAAAACTTGGCTATGATTTTATCATTTATCTTCTAGTTCACGTTGAGTGCTATCATTTGAGTGCTATCATAAATTTCTAAACTGTTTTGGGAATTCACAATCTTTCTTTGTTTATATTATTATTTTTCAATTATTATAATTATCTAAGATTATAAGACTAGAATTATAAGCACAAGTGCTATGTCAATTACCCCCTTCCCCCTCCCCCTACGGGTCACAGTATGAACCGGACCTTAAGGGACATGAATAAGGAGCTATCGAAATCTTTTCATTTTCGTTCGTATGATTGCACTAAACAATAACAAAAAGAGTTGAATCGAGTGAATTTTCAGAAAAACACAGATTTAAACTTCTTTCTGTGTGTCGCGTGCACAATCGTAACGTGGTTGACTCTCCACCAACGAGAGCGGAGTAAAATTTCAAATAAAAAGAGTCGATTATTGTTGATTCAACTAATTTTGTAGTTACAGCTTCTTTATTTAGGAGCAGATCAGCTATATTTTGTTTTCTCGTTATGGTGATTTTGTTCATATCACGCACAGCTCTAAACTGCTAATCTGTGTTGTAYACGGAAGTCCGTGCTCCAGAGTCCATATGTTCCAAATCTTCAAATACTGAGAAATAATCAGTATTTACACAGGGGATTGATTAGCATAATAATTTGCATCAAGTCCTCGTGTTGGCTTTTTCCACAACAAATTTGTATTTGGTTTTCACTTTGGAAGACAATGTTTACCGTTTGATGGAACAATTCACTTAAACAAGACACGTCTTGTTCTATCGATCAAGTATTCTATGTTGACAGCCGATGCATATGCCAGAAATAAAGTGTCTAAGACTGGTTTGTATTTACAAGCCGATTGTTTACAATGGACAAAACTACAGACGATAAAAACTGGCAGAGTTCACTATAAGACATCAATCTTCAATTATCACAATATAGAATTATTGTGTTATGTGGTCCTAAAGTTGATTATTTCTTAGTATATGTGATGAAACCATCAGGCTATATTGTACAGGTAGTTCTTGCTAGTATGCTATACCATATTGGACATGCAGCTAGATGCCTCAAAGGCTTCAAAGGTAAGGTTATGTAGCATATCATCTCTGTCACCATAAATATTGTTATTATTATTTTTTTGATAGTTTAATTACTCACTTGACTTCGTGATTCATAGATCGCGGGACATTATGTAATGCACTCAAACGAACGTTTATTGACACAGTATATTATAGAATCGCTCACCACACAAACAATCTTTTTTCTAAACCAGAGATTGAATTCATAGTTTATTCGTGATTTAGTTCAATAATAATCAATCATTTCTGTACAATAATTAATATTTCACYCCACCCTCCCCCGCTGAGGTATAGTATAGGGTATGATGGTAAATAGCCGGACTAAGAATAAAACTGTATTGAACACTATAGACATTTCTAATTTCGGATTTAAAGATTTTGAACAATCTTTGAATAAATCCGTCTGCAGTTATAGAGTTTTGCTCTGTTGTTTCAGACCTGCTRAGTAAGAAATTCAACAACTAGAAGTTGAATCCCGAGGATCTTCTTTTTCATTTTTTTTTGGTGTTCTTAAATATTTTAAAATATCTTTGTTGGTTGTATTTTTCATATTTATACGTAGTTTGTTTAATCAACCATGAATTACAAAAACAAAAACAAAAACGCATTCAAACTGAAATGAAACTACTTACATGTAAATATTAAATAACTTCTTGCGCGATGTCTATTTCACTGGTCACGCTATGGGAACATTGCGCTAAACCACGAGATTTTTGCAATAAGTTTACAGGGACCGCGGAGCAGGGGGGGCCGGGGGGCTAGAGCCCCCCCAATAATATTTTCGACATTTGAATTTTCTTAAATAAAGAAGCGAAGAGCCTCCCTATGAATTCTTTGGGATTTTATTGATAATATTGCTGACCGTGTCTGCGGTAATTATGTCTTGGATAACGCCTCAAAACGCTGGAAATGGCATTTCCGAGAGTTAAGATTTCAGAAATTTCCGACCCCCCTAGCACCTCCTCGCCGCTAGTCCCCCCAAACAAGATCCCGCTCCGCGGTCCCTGGTTTAAACAACAACCTTGAGAAAAATATATATAATAGACAGACAGGAAGGCCAACATTGTTAATCGATTCAATATGAAGTTGGACTCGACTCCCAAAAGAATAAAGCACACGATAAAGACGAGTCTGTTCGAGTCTGAGAGTAACTTGTCGATGCACCGTAAAAGATAAAAATACTAAACAAACARAAACATGGTCTTTTAGTCCGAACAGGATTCTCAGAGAAATCGAAAGCACAAACTCGTGCTCACACTCGCCATTGAGTCTTCTGTCGTTTGACGATTTCATAAGAAACACATCGGTTTTGATGCCATTGGTTAATACCGAGGGTGTTTGTGGGACAGTTTGTGTATTTTTGTCTGCCATTAATCTCGATAGGGGGTTTGTTATAGGGGGTTGTTATAAGGGGTTGTTATAGGGAGGTTATTATAGGGAGGTTGTTATAGGGAGGTTGTTATGGGGGGTTGTTATAGAGAGGCTGTTATAGGTAGGCTGTTATGGGGAGGTTGTTATAGGGTGTCATTATAGGTAGGCTGGGGATTAATTGTTATAGGGGGGTTGTTATAGGGAGGTTGATATAGGGGGTTGTTATAGGGAGGTTGTTATAGGGAGGTTGTTATAGGGGGGTTGTTATAGGGAGGTTGTTATAGGGGTTTGTTATAGGGGGTTTGTTATAGGGGGTTGTTATAGGGAGGTTGTTATAGGGGTTTGTTATAAGGGGTTTGTTATAGGGATTTGTTATAGGGTGTTATTATAGGTAGGCTGGGGATTAATTGTTATAGGGGGGTTGTTATAGGGAGGTTGATATAGGGGGGTTGTTATAGGGGGGTTGTTATAAGGGGTTGTCATACTGTAAAACCGCTGATTAGTATCTGTCATCCGACGCTTAAAAATAGGCGATTTTAATTCCAGAAAAGAGCGACATATAACGTGAACCGCTACATAACTGAGAGCAGAAACCGACTTCTAGAATCAGCAGAAACCAGTCCAACCTAAAATAAGCCCTCTCGATAATATTTTTCGATATCGACAAACTATTTACACAGCTCCATTGCTGGCTCATAATTATCAGGAAGGCACTTTCACGGGATATGGGGGTTTTCCGTTCAAAGTCATCTTTTCGCTAGTTTTCTATTATTTTCTCTTGAGTCAGAATCTCTGGTTTATCATTATTCGCGATCGCAGAGGAACATAACTATCTCCTGATAAGGACCAATCAGGTGCCGTGTTATATGCGCGCACGTTGTGATTGGTTGTCTAAAAATTGATTATCGGGACTCTGATGGTGACGAGATTACTAGCGAGATGGACACTGTACTTCTGGCGATCGGTGATCGAAAAATAATCTAACAAAAGAGACTTTTCAGGTCATGATTTTAATAACCGTCATCAATTATTCTATCATATGTAAAGGCGGCAAAATACCAAAAACCATCAACTTGGCGCACAACATTGTCAATTATTCTATCATATGTAAACCATCAACTTGGCGCACAACATTGTCAATTATTCTATCATATGTAAACATTGTTTCTGTTCAAGTAGTTTAGGTTCATCGACCGTGCGATCAACTTGGCACGCAACAAAATCCTCTATTGCATGTTGAAGAGAGTTGTTGCGCAAAGTACTTTCAGATACAAATTTTGGCTTTGTTTGTGCGAGATTTCTTAACGTTATTAATAGTTCTATTTGAACTCAATTCTAAAGTTGTGTTGCACAATAACATTTTCCCGAATTCAATCGTTTATTGAAAGAACTGATATCCTCTCTCTCTGTCTTTAATGTGTAAAAATATAACTTTATTACAGGTCGTAAATCATTTACGATTGAAAACAAGCCTATCCCCCTGACCGTCTATGGAGGTATTGGGGTAGCCAATCAAATTGCAGGAATCCTGGCGAGCATCTTATTGGACGATGTACTTGGTTACCGTAATGTTGTACTTGTRAATAGCTCGCTACCAGGACCTTTGACCGTGATGGAACTGAACTCATACATAAAGAAGGCATGCCATACACCAAGGTAACAAACAAATAATSTTCTGGACCTTGTACAATCCGAATTGACACGTATTTTACCACCATTTGTAGTATGATATGCAGTAATAGTAGTCCGACAGAACACCGCTAATGTTTCCGTACACGATATTTCTCCGCGGTTTAGAGCAGAAATACAGCTTGTCAATCAGACATGTCAGAATGTATGGTATCGCATATAATTGAATATTATCGAGTTGAAGTGCGATACATTTCTAGTAAAAATGGCCACATTCAAAGGGTTTTTCCTTCCCAATAATATAGATTATCTACAGAACTAGTCTTTTCTTGTTATAGCAAGCAATGCTTTCCACCTGCCTTAGTCTTCCCGGCCGTGTGGGTACCAGTCGATCATCGACCAAAGACAACCACCAACAAGAACCTCATTGATCTCGGTTCCGATGGCATCACGGGAAGGTAAAGTCATGTGTTTACAATAAAACTGTGAAATTGGCATGTCGGTTACAGCTGTTGCAATGAGTTGTCTCTAGAGACCAATGACTCACTCTTTAGCACACATTACACTGAGATAAAGCCACAATTTATACTTATCTAGACCATAATATATACCCATATAGTAAAGGCGGGTATGACACGAACAAACGGTATCAAGTATCTGTAGAAATCTATGCGTTCGTCTTGCATCAAATCACGTGCTGACACGTCATATATCCCGTCAATACGTCACGCAATATATATCTATTGTCTCGTTTGTTTTCCAGCTATGGTTGGTTTGTGTCTAGTACATTCGTTAGTAAGATATGGAAAGACAAAGGAATCCCGGTCAATCACTGGCGCAGTCTATTGTTACCTGCAGTTGTAGAGAATCTATTGAACGCAGGTGAACTCGAATCGCTTCGTGAGCTGTGTCCTGGATGTGTTTTACGTGTGTTCTACCCTAAACCCTGCAACCCTAACCATGGCGGGGAGGTTAGTCTGTGCGCGTTGCTGATAGCACAAGACCGAGGTAAGCCACTTTATTGATGACATTTGTTTCTTTCCGATGCACGTCTATAGCCGGGATTATTTTATTATTTCATTTTTTCCATCTTGCACTTGCCTGACTAATCTAACAAAACTTGGCGGAATGCTAAAATACTGATAGATTTGCAAATGCTATAGTTTAGAATTTCATATTATTATTTTACCAGGGAGCTGCAGTATCGAGATGGAACGTCAGATTACTCTCCTCGATCTTCATGTGGCGATTGCCTGGCTGAACACGAAGCCACATTCATTTCTGATGGCCTATGAGTCGCGCAAGAAACCAGTGCTTTTCTCAGCCTTTGCGACTGATAGATTGACGATTTCAGATCGATTCACCGAGATTCACTTCCCAAGCTGCAGGTGAAAGGCTTGCTSGGAGGCGCATCTTCCATGCTTGCGAGTTAAGAAAAATCGAAGAATTTAACAAACACAGAAATCCCCGTTTTAAAGTCTACAATTTCGAGATGAGACGGATGCATGATTCTTTCGGAATGAAGGGACTTAGGGCGTTGGCAAAACACAAATGTTGATAAAATGTTACTTGCTGTTATGATGTGCACCCACTCCACGTCCCGCCTAGTTATATAATTACAGTCTAACTAACGAGCACTATGAGAAACACTTAATGTAGTGTGTGTGTATGCTTCTTTTGTTTGTCAAATCAGCCTTGTTCTGGCAGAATCAATATTGTTTTAACATGGTTATTAATATAAAATATGTTATYCATTTTTTCATTAGTTCAAAGCTTGATGTTCATCAGGAATTTTCTCCACCCAACCCACATTGGAATTGTAGTTGTTCATCGATATTGGAAATGAGGAAATTCGTATGGACAAGACTCCATCATGAGTACAAGGACATCGTTGACTTACTCGCTGCATTTCATTTCCAACAAGACCAGTTAGCAGACATGATAGGGAAGGTCGGAGAAAATAACGCCAGCAAGACTGTCTGTGATTGGTTAATCATGAACAAAGGTGTATGGTCACCRTGGATACCGACTCAAAAGATCACCAACAAGACCATCTACATTGGAGGCATGTTTCCAAGTTTAAACGGACCGGAAGCTGTTTGGTCAAGTCCTGGTGACGAGCTTGGGGCGATCATGGCAATWGAGAGAATAAACCGTGACACCGCARTACTCAAAGACTACCGACTCAAGATGCCGATCGTTGGTACGCAATGCCGACGTGAATTGGTCCTTAATGCATACATTACATATCTGAACCGTGACCCRTCACGCAAGGTAGTTGGCATATTGGGCCCTGCGTGTAGTAAACCAACAATGCCTATTGCATCAGTGTCACGCTATCACAATATGATAGTCATGGGTTACGGTGCTGATGACGTGTCCTTATCTGATAGAAAGCGATATCCCTACTATTTCCGCACTGCCCCTAGTGTGGACGAGTTCAAGTTTGCATACTTAGCTCTTTTTGACAAATTCAAATGGAAGCATTGCATGACTCTACGTGGTACACGATATCCAGCAAGCACCGTACTGTCCAGAACGGAGTATTTGACCAAAAATGGTATTGATGTCTTGTCGCGACAAATTCCAACCGAGGAGGGACTGGATGCGAAGACATACGTTAGCAATGTTAAGCAGACCGGACGGACGATTATCATCTTGAACGTCTACCCAGCAGCCACCAGGGCCATTATGTGCGAGGCGTTCAAACAGGTAACGTTTATTGAAACTTGTTCGAGAATTCTAGAATAGATGATCGCCAGGTGGTCAGGGTCTGAACTTCGAAATGCTAAACTTATAGGACAGAACCATAACGTATTTTATTATCAATAGTTATATGATCACGTGATATGATATGTATCATTGATGATTCGTTCTTTAGAATCTCCATCCATCACGTGGTTATGTATGGTTTGTGCTCGGTTGGCTTGACCAGGATTGGTGGGATACCGACAAACACAACAATAAAACCTACAGCCCCACAGAAAGAGTACCTTGTAGCAGCGATGATATGAAGATCCTTGTCGATCAGGGATATTTCTCGTTGTCTGGATCGTTTTACGGTGATGATAACCAAGTCATCGCAGGCGGAGGAACGGTCAGTTATTGGAAGAAACAATACTTACAAAGAACTTTAGAAAAGGTATGTCAAATCAAAGTCAAAGTGTGTATGAATTCGTTGAGTTTAAAGGCACAAATTTGAACGATTATTTACAAAACCTGAAGKATCAGAATGCGTTAATGTTGGTTTTGKTTTTAGGGAGTAAAGCCATCAGATTACGCGTCACTAGCTCACGATGCTGTATGGACCTACGCCCTTGCACTAGACGCCTTAATCAAGAATTCATCTGATGCTGTTGACCATATTTACGATGATACAACATCAAGGTACTCAATAGAGAATTGAATAATAGTCAGGTAGGGGAGGATCTTATCCGTTATTATTAAAGGCGATGTGTACGTCATCTGGAAAACTGACAGCAAAGGCTTACATGTTAGAATTGATATACATTGRCAAGTATTAGGGCGCCTGGTGCTACAAATGCTTGGTAAAATATAAAACCATAACTTTGCAGCTTGATAAAGCATTGATGAATAAAACATCAGGATTTTATCATGCGACGCAATGAGCACTATAAGGCTAACCGCTAATGGATTATTATTACATGGGCTTCCAAAGGAAGACCATGTCTTAAATTACCGACGTTTTTCGTCTGTGGTATGCTTCAAATTATATCCGGGACCTTTTCATTTTTGACATCTATTGTCTTACTGTCATTCATGTTTCTAAGCAACGATTCAAACGTCGCCTCGTGCTTCTTCGGACCTTCGTATAGCCGGCAAAGTTTTAATGATCGAACATGTCGAACACTAAATCCACACACCATTCGCGGCATAGCCACACTAAAAAGAATCGAGCGTTTCTCAAAAGGGCATTTGGAGAGATACGGCGAATTTATCGTGAATCTACCGATCGTGAATTAATATCTACCACACATTAGCTTATCAAAAGCAAACTTATACTAGTACCATCTCTACAATCACCAAGGACTTATCTAAGACATGTCAACAGATTTATACTAAGGAAAAACAGAGGATTGGAAGTATTTTAAGCGAAGAACATGAAAGACTATCGATCTGTGTTTAATACAGCCAAGGATGCGACTCTTAAAGTAACGGCTCGTCAGACATAAATTACTTCTTTCACAATATTATTAAATTCTACTAAGTGCATTGCTTGTTTGATTATTTTTCATTAAAGTAATATTTTTTTGCTGTTGTCTTAGTAATATTAATTTCATTAGGGTTCAATATCATTTACTGATTGGGATAAACCACAGGAAGCCCATGTAAACGATCGCTGATCGTCTAGTTATTATTGATATGTGCATGTGTCTGCCAATAATTGTGGGGTTTCATTTATTTCAGATTATTTCGTGAATACATCCAGACGACACATTTTTTTGGAGTGTCTGGTCTTGTTCACTTCCGTAATGGCGACAGATTGTCYAATATCAATATTAAGCAGAACTTTGCAACATCATCGAAGCTGATTGGTCACTTTGTCCCGGAAACTTCACAAAACAATGTTTACAATGGATTTTTATTTCTTGAAGAGAAGACGATAAAGTGGGCAAGTGGAAACGTTCCTAAAGATCGACTTTTAGGTATGATATGGGGGAACAGTTCGTCATGTTTAGTTGTGCTGTTAAGTGCCGTTTTAAATTGCGATATCTGGTTTTGTTTCGATAGTTCAAGCTGCCCCATCAGTGAGCTGTGCCGTCGAATCTCTTCGAAATGTACTGGGTATCAGTTGCGTTGCTGCAGGACTAGTCGCTGCACTCATAGGTAAAAATATACTGCGCATGTCTCGATATGATCACCACAATATGATTACCCATAGTCATACAAATAGAGGACCAATTCCTGCAATCTAAACTGCTCGTTCTTTTAAAATCAATGTTTTTGAATTATCGAAAACTTTGTTTAATGATGGTAACCAGTTTTAGGCAAAGACCAATCGACCATCATTCAACCACACTCACTACATCTACAGTAATTATTTAGGCACACGAAACGGATCCTTACAGCGGTGATCGGACAGCATTAGAGAGGCTTAAGCATGACTTTTACGGCAAACGGCGGAAAAGATCATGTAACCTGCTTTTTGGGGGTTTACAAAAAACCGTACAGTTTCAACGCCAGAGTGGGCTATTTTGGGGTTTCCATAATCGTGAAAACTTGCTCTTTCAAATGACTACCAAAAGCACAAGGTCAGGTACGAAATTCTTAGGTCATTGGTTCAACTCTGCCGTTAACCGTTTGCCGTAAACGTGATGCTTAAACTCTCTATTACCACTGTGCCAACCATTGCCCCCATTAGTAAAATTGTAAAATACAGTTTGGTAGATATTGATAATTCCTTTAAACTGCTTTACAGCCATTCTCCTTATTGCGGCGTTTCTCTTAGTTGTCTTTTGGATTCTGAAAGGAAGGTACGTGAAATACTCATTTYTGATTGGCTGATTGTACATTTAATAAATCTATCCTGATGTGATTTGTAACTACTGTTTTAGTTCAACCCAGACTCGCATTTTCTCTAGATTGCGATGCATCTGATCTACTTTTATACAACACAATCGCTATTTTACATCAATTCTTCTTGTACAGTCGATTTTCTGTCCATATCGCTTTGTCCGTCTCTCATCACAGGCCTGACCCCATACAAAGCTGATTTAGATATTTYTTTTAGATACTCTTCCAAATATCGTATTATCAAAAGACGTCTAAACCAGCTAGGTCTTCTGGATGCTCATGCTGCATGTACTATATTTGCACTAGATGCCTGGGAAATATCACGTGACATGATTGTTTTGAATCGTAAACTTGGGGAAGGCGCGTTTGGAGCTGTGTTTGGAGGAGAAGGACTGGGTATAGTTKATGAAAGTACTTCAGTTTCTGTTGCTGTTAAGACTCTCAAGACCGATGCATCAGTCGAGGAGAAGGTAGCACTGTGAGTACTTTGGAAAGGAAACTAAAAAGATACCTTTATTGTGATTTTATTTTTTCATAGTTTGAATTCCTTGGAGAAGCAGACACCATGAAGCACTTTTCACATGAAAATATTGTGCAGTTATTTGGAGTCTGTACAACTACAGAACCTGCATTCATTGTTATGGAACTAATGATACACGGTACTTTAATTCTTAGTGTTAGTATTTCCACAATGTATTTATTGGTTTGATTTCTTTGTTCGTCAGTGCGTGGCCTGTGTTCAGTACCTTTCGATTGTTGTTTTTGTTACTGTATTTTTCATGCGATCTTTTGGTTGCTTGTTTTCATAGATGCACTCTTTTAACTACTTCACGGAATACTCCGTCAGACAATCGAAGAATCTCAAAGTGGTGTGCTTGTCCTATACAACCTTATCGAACAACAGTGTTATTTCGGACTTTTTCATTTCTCTTGTTCTATTATTTATTTACTTGAATAAACTGGTTTTTCTATCGATTTTCCCGCTCGATTGACTGACGTTTAGTTTTTTTGAATTCTTACCTCGTCACACCCTACTATTCTTCTTATTGTGTGTGTTTTTTTAATCAAATTCACTCAGGTGACTTAAAGAGTTTTCTTCTTGCAAGAAGACGGCTTATTGATCGACATGGAACACCAGAGGTAGGCGGTTGTCAAACCCTATCAATTTTTTACGACTAAACTATAAATGCATTTTCTTGTATTTCCATTAACTAGATTATTGCAAAGGACTGCAAGGGAGTTGCTAATAAGTTTCCTGTTCATTTAGGCAGAAGAAGTGACGTCATCCAATCTTACAAGAATGGCTCTCGACATTGCCAGAGGGATGCAGTATCTATCACAAAAGAAATACGTCCACAGGTCAGTCAATGGAATCGTTGAATTAGTGAACTAAGAACCGATAGTTTTGAAACTACAGCAAGTGCTCCAATTACTGATAAACGTATGATGATGTCGCATTAACTGACTCAATGCCCCCGGGGGGGGACTCCCTAATATTAAAGGGCGTGGGTCCTCGGCGGAGATTGTGAAAATGACCCCTAAAAGGGACCTCTATTGTGAGATGATGGGCGTGGCAGTGCTGAAATTTCAACCCTAAAAGGGACCAATCAATAACAGGTCATTTTGTTTTGGTTTACCGATTTTATTTGTGTTTTTACACAATCATCGAACACCGTCGGCTCGTATTGAGTTTATGACGACGTTGCCATTTTATGACTGCTTAAGGTCGCCGTAAGCCCTGAAAGGGACCACAAAACACAGTTGGTAGGAATTCTTGTCATGATCACCCTAAGCRGGACMAAAWTASTRATKWCAAACCCTAAAAGGGACGCCGAGGACCCCCGCCCTTTGATATTAGGAAGTCCCCCCCGGGCTCAATGCAAAGAGAGCTTCTGCATGACAAAAATATCTAAACGCAATGTTGTGGGTACTTTTACTTTCCCCTGTACTTTGTCCACTTTGTCGTGAATTGTACAAAGACCTCATTGGGTTACGTGACGAGGTACATTGTGATTGACAAGTCAAGAAATAGAACCYAGGCCTTGCTTGAGTTTAACACGTCTCTGGCCCTTCACTTTTAGAAAAATTAAACTCAAAATTTATAAGCTATAATTTGTGTCAGTATCAAAATTGAATACTGTCATGGCGTGAATGAGTGAACGGATTGTTTTTTACAGAGATCTGGCCCTACGCAATTGCATGGTTGGTGTTGGTAATGTGATCAAGATTGGAGACTTTGGTTTAGCAAGACAACTGAACATCAAAGACTATTATCGGTTCGAACGTAAAGGTCAGTTACAATACGAAATCCTTCCACASTAGACCATTGCAAAAAGCATCTAGATCAGTTACACTACGAAATCCTCCCACTCTAGACCATTGCAAAAAGCACTGTGATGTAGATTCGAAGCAAACATCTTTTGTTTCAGAGACCAAAGATATAAGATAAAAATAATCCTATGTGCAATGATATCAGTCTATCTACATCTCCTATAGGAGCCTTACCGATACGATGGATGGCACCGGAAGCCATCACCGAGGGATTGTTTACCACTCAGTCCGATGTCTGGTCGTTTGGTGTCACGTTATGGGAGCTGGCGACGTTCGGAGGCTTTCCGTACCAGGGTGCGTCCAATCAAGTTGTACTTGAGTATGTTAAAGATGGAAATATTCTGGAAATACCTCAAGGAAGCAGCGATCAAATGTAAGTCAATTGAAAAGGCCCTTACAGTCAAACAAATTTATCGAAAAGTTACAATGTGTATTCGACTTTTAGTCATTTATCCTGTTTTTACCCTTCACCCCCTCCCCCACCCCAAACAAAAAACAAACACCCCGCCCCCCCAAAACAAACAAACAAACAAACAAAAACAACACAACAACAACAAAAAGTCTTTTAATAGAGTTTTTTTGTACAGGGCGAACTTGCTGCGTATGTGTTGGCGGTTCGACTATCTGGATCGTCCAACCCCTTATAGCTTAGTAYGCATTCTGACCGAAAATCCTGAGATTGTCAGCGCATGTGTTGAAGTGCCTCCCACAACAGTCAGTGAYGACAGCATTGGACGGTTTTATGTTCCAAGTGGGCATGGACACGGTCGAAACAGCAGGCTATCAAGAACTCCATCTGTAAGCTCACAGCTATCTGAACGACTTCGAGTGTCTGGATTTGTCAAAGAATCATCGCTTTCTTCCAAGAAACACGCTGGTAACAGCAGTAGTGGAGGACATAGTCCTGGAGCTAGAAAAACTTCTTTCTTTTTTAAATTATGAGCAATTTGAAGAAAGTGCTTTGCTTGTAGTTTAGTGTATCCTCACATTAGTATATCATTGCTGACTTTTATTATGAATTAGTCGGTTACCATTTCTACTCATGAAACGGGTCAGTATACCCGTCACTCAAGGAAGAACGACCACCGAGACAATAAAAATGGTCGCAAATTTGTGATTCACTTGTGTACAAGAAAAAGGAATAGGTGTCACTGCCCAAGGCTAGCCTCASCGACGATCGCAATCACTCATAAATTATTGAAAAACGTTTTTTCAAAGCAAAAATCTATTAACGAGCGCGAATTCAGATGTGTCATCTTTTGTGGGTTTCACTTATTGGAAAGTAATTATTAGTGAACGACAATTACAAACATGATTTATTTTGTTGATATGTACAACTGTTTCTATGCATGTATACTATATAAAATACATCTTGCTGTAACACGCGGACCCGTCAGCMTGCATCGGGTAATGGATGTTGGAAATATCATAATAATAATAGTGAATTGAACAGTGGCAAGGACAAGATACCGGTTGCGATATTACAATAATTTTTCAGAATTTTACGGGGAAAAAAATTATCATTCTCCATGTGAATAGTATTTGATGATGGAGGATCAGGATTTCCTTATTGAAATGAGTAATTTTCAACGTGACGGAAAATCTCTGTAACTAATTATGTGATTATTCTTTTTACAAGCATTTTTGAGAATTATTTTTTTTCACAATATTCTACTGACACATCTTTGGTACACGCCTATGGTAGTAGTATAATAACAGACGTCGCGGACTAATGGACTTCAACTTCACGAGTTATTACCTGGAGAAGTCCAGTCTGCGAGGTGAATGCTAAGTGCTTGTTCCCTATAATGGCGGACTGTTGTGGGATTTTACATTAACATTGTAGATATATTTTACATTAACATTGTAGATATATTTAAACATGTTGAACCTTTTCGACCTGTAACGGAACTTCTATCCTTGGAAGACAGTCCAAAACATTCGATGAATAATTATGATGAGTAGATTGTGACTTAGCATCCTTTGGTAGGCAACTCTCTCTGTATAAAACTATAATAACAAATGGTTCTAATGTTCATCAAGGGATTAGGTTGCCATGATTACACCTTCATGGGTGTGGTCTYTTCRGGAAGAGCGTCCTGCTTGTCTGGTCGAGATCTTTTGAAAAAACCGCACTAAAAACAACAAACAACATTCATTTTTGGGATAATTGACGAGTCATGTATTGAGTAATATAACCTATGGTTATGAATGATAGCAATACCTTGTACAAGATGGCTATCAATACAGCAAGCAGTATCAGTCCACCAAGTATTGATACTAATATTATCCACCACGATACATCCTCTCGGYTTTTGGCTTCACTGCTCGGACGGGCTGTTAATATGATCTATGGACAATAAGTTYTATTGTTTAGGAGAGAGGAACAGGCACAAATACGCGGAGTATGGCATAAAGGAAGAAAACGAAATTGTGATTGTAGAATAACAAAAATCAGGCAAAGAGTCTGGACAAAGGACAAGCGAAAATGCTTCACTGGTCTTGTATCACTATTATATCATAAGTAAACCAACCTTAACATTATCGTTGGAGGTGTCGGTTTGCATGATATCTGTTGGGACGCTMAGCTGTGCAGTCGTTACAAGCTTTGTGTTTGCTTTGTTATTCTTTAACAGAATAAAATTGAAAGTCAGCTCGAGAAAACAAACTCAGACAGACAAAAAATGAGACAGGCGATAATAGAATAATATTAGAAAGATAGAAAGAATATTTTCAATGACAAACCTTTATCAAAGTGTTTTGATTCAGTCGTAGTTTCATAGATATGTGAACGATCTCGTCCATTGCTAGTCGACCAAGTTTACACTSTAATAAATAGCATTCAGCAGACCGACATGTCTGGAATGGAATAAAACATGGCGATAAACCTGACTGAGGCTTGTCACTAAGACTTGTTATGATTTGAAAGTCGACGAGATTTTGATATCGGATTAACTTTACATTCAAAAAAAAGGGCCCCACAACTAATAGGGTTGCCACTCGAAAGGGKTTCAGAACCGAAATATCTTGTATTACTATACTAGATAACCAACCGGTTACAGTCAACTCTTTAGAACCCAGTCCGTTGTGAGTGGCTGAGAAACAACCCGCTAGAATGGACTCATAACTAAAAAATCTCCTAATACGATGATATGTCACCAACCAGCTTTCAGCAAGTTAGTCAACCCGTCAGAACCTAACCCGCTGTAACTGACTGACCACMATCTTGCTTGTAGATGACYTRGTATAGTGACTAAGGGTTTTTTCTGAACCCCTTCTAACGGRWTCGGTTCGGCTGTAACGTGTTGACCTACAATTGAWGGTTTTCGGGTTTCTGAACCCGTTGTAGATAGCGGGTTGTTTCTCAGCCTACAGAACGGACATTGTAGCTTTTTTGGCGTTTTTAAGTGGTGTTCGCCTCATATCACGGAATCCAAAGCGTTCCTGGATTTCGGATTTCAAATTCCTTGATTCCAAACTCCATGAAAAATTTCGCAAGGATTTTATTCAGAATGCTAAGCATCGTAGCTCTTTTGTTTTCGATGACTTTGTTTTTTCGTTTCGTTTCGTTTAGCTGGTGATGCAGGATTTCAAGTGCCCGSGTAATGATGTCATACGCATTCCAATGCTCACCGTTTTAAGTATGGTTGTTAGTTTGTTTTGTAGCATAGTTTGGCTCAATGCAGGCTGGGATAGGTTGKTTTTTTCTGGTACTATACCATTTAACATCTCATAACATTTCCCAGGTCCTTGAGAAACCTAAACCAAGAAATAAGGCATTTATCAATTACGGAAGTAGTATTGATAATAAGGTCAATTCAAGATGGTTTTCGTATTGGTAATAAGGTCAATTCAAGATGGTTGTCGTATTGGTAATAAGGTCTATTCAAGATGGTGGTCATATTGGTAATAAGGCCTATTCAAGATGGTGGTCATATTGGTAATAAGGTCTATTCAAGATGGTTGTCGTATTGGTAATAAGGCCTATTCAAGATGGTGGTCATATTGGTAATAAGGTCTATTCAAGATGGTTGTCGTATTGGTAATAAGGCCTATTCAAGATGGTGGTCATATTGGTAATAAGGTCTATTCAAGATGGTTGTCGTATTGGTAATAAGGCCTATTCAAGATGGTGGTCATATTGGTAATAAGGTCAATTCAAGATGGTT